ATTTCATTAAGAGTTATAATTCGTCCTCTCAATTAGTAGCAGTCAAGCACTCTCTTTTAGTGCTTCAGTGTCAATATTGACTTGTTATTACCTATATAAACCTATTTCATGGGATCTCCAATCACATAGGTTGGGTTACCATCTCTATTGACAGCATGGCGGCCTTAACCCCATCTCTTTTGAGGTTTGAATAATTAATTTTCTTCCCACAGATTTAGTTAGAGGATCGGCCAAAATAACTTCTGACTTCACATAATCAATAAAAATTATTCCATCTCTCAGCAACTGCTTTATGACATCATGTCTCAATTTCATGTGTCTACTTTTAGAATTATAAGATTTATTCTTTGTTATAGTTATTGCCGCTTGGCAATCACAATGTATAGACACATGAGGCAATACATCCTTTATTAAAAGGGATATTAGTTAAGAAGTTTCTTAGCCACTCAGCCTCAGAACCAGCTAACTCCAGAGCTACAAACTCTGATTCCACAGTCGATCTAGCAATGATCGTCTATTTAGCTGATTTTCACGAAATTGCACCACCACAAAGGGTGAATACATAACCACTAGTGAATTTTGTCTCATCTGAATTAGAGATCCAGTTTGCATCACTGTACCCTTCTAAAGTATTAGGAAATTCACTATATAGGATACCATAATTCATAGTTCCTCTCAAATGTTTCATTAGTCTAGCTAATACAGACCAATGCTCTCTGTTGGGATTATGAGTATATTTACTCAGTCTACACACAACATAGATTATATCAGGCCTTGCAAAAATTATTAAATGCATCAGACTCCCAATAATCTGAGCAGATTTAGACTAAGTAACTAGGTCACCATTATTCCTTTTAAATTGAGAATTAACATCAAAAGGAGTGCTCACAGGTGTGACATTAAAATATTCACAAATTTCTTAAGAAGTCTATCAACATAATATTCTTGTGACAATATTATTCCATCTTCACTCCTTATAACTTTAACTCCTAATATTGTATTTACTTCACCCAAATCTTTCATATCAAAATTAGCAGCCAGAAATAATTTAGTACTTTGCACAATATTTAAACTTGCACCAAATATAAGCATGTCATCAACATACATACATATTATCATATAATCATTGTCTACCACTTTAGTATAAACACATTTATCCACCTCCACTGGAAAAAACCGTCTCTCAGTAAGACTTGTTCAAATTTATCATACCACTACTTAGAAGCTTGTTTAAGGCCATAAAGAGATTTAATTAATTTACAAACTTTATTTTCTTGTCCAGGAATGACACAGCCTTCAGGTTGAACCATATAAATTTCTTCTTCTAAATCACCATTTAAAAAATCTGTTTTGACATCCATTTGATGGATAAAAAACTTATGGATAGAAGCTAAGGCAATTAAAACTCGAATAGAAGAAATTCTAGTCACTGGTGCAAACGTATCAAAATAATCTATATTTTATTTTTGAGAAAATTCTTTTGCTACTACCCGAGCTTTATATTTATCTAAAGATCCATCAGGCTTAAATTTCCTTTTGAAAATTCATTTACAACCAATAGGCTTTGCACCAGGAGGTAAATCAGTTAAAATCCATGTGTTAATTTTTTTAAATAGAATCGATTTCAACTTTTATTGCCTCTTTTCAATGTTTAGTATCTGAAGAAGATATAGCTTCAAAATAATTTGATGGTTCATTATCGACAAGAAAAGCTTGAAAATCATTTCCATAAGAAAAATATTTTTTCCTAGGCCTTTTGCTCCTTTTCAGTTCCTCATTAGAGGTAATTTCACTATTTGTTTCAAAAGGTGTATGAGAAATTTTATTAGACACTGGATAATATATTCAAAGAACTCAGCATTCTTTGTCTCAATTATAGTATTATAATCAAGCACATCACTTTTTAAAACAAGAAATCTATACAACAACAACAACAACCTAGTATAATCTCACTAGCGGGGTCTGGAGAGGGTAGTGTGTACGCAGACCTTATCCCTACCCTGGGGTAGAGAAGCTGTTTCCGATAGACCCTCGGCTCCCTCCCTCCAAGAACTTCCCACCTTGCTCTTGGGGTGACTCGAACTCACAACCTCTTGGTTGGAAGTGGAGGGTGCTTACCACTACGTTCAGCATATCCAATAAGCATGCAATCAGCAGTTTGGGAACCTATTTTTTCTCTTTTTAGGTTCAGGCAAAAGAACTTTAGAAAGGCACCCCCACACTTTTAAATATTTCAAATTCGGTTTATAACCCCTCCACAATTCATACGGAGTTTTGCCAGTTCTTCTATGTGGTATTCTATTTTGTAAGTGACAAACAGATAATATAGCTTCACCCCACAAATTATCGGGAGCATTAGAACTAACTAACATAGAGTTCATCATCTCTTTCAATGTTCTATTTTTTCTTTTAGCTATTCTATTTGACTCGGGTAAATAAAGCGAAGTTACTTCATGAATAATTCCATTTTTTTCACAAAAATCATTTAAAGAAAAATATTCTCCATCTCTATCAGATCTAATTCTCTTGATTCTTCTACGAAGTTGATTTTCAACCTCAGTTTTATAAGAAATAAAAGCATTAAAGGCATCATCTTTATTTCTAAGCAAATACAACTTAGTATATCTAGAAAAATCATCAATAAAAGTCACATAATATCTTTTACCGCATCTAGTCATAGTCTACTTCAAGTCGCCTAAATCAGTGTGAATTAAAAAATATAATTCAGCTTCTCTATTTACGGAAAAATATGTCTTTCTAGTACTATTAGCTTCAACACATATTTCACACTTGTCAATATTATTTGAGTTTAAACCAGATATTAACCGTAGTGAATGCATTTTCTTTATATATGCGATATTAATGTGTCCTAATCTAGCATGCCATAAAGAGATAGACTCAACTATATAAGCAGAAGCAGATACATTTCTATTGATAACATCAGAAACATTAAGTACAAAGAGTCCTTGGTTACAATAGCCCTTTCCCACAAACAAATTATTTTTGGTCATTATGATCTTATCAGATTCAAATGACACTTTCACTCCGACTCTTCCCAACAAGGTTACAGAGATCAAGTCTGCCCTCATAGTAGGAACATGCAGTACATCAACAAGGGTTAGAGTTTTTTCCGAAGTGAGTTTCAGGAGAACTTTACCCTTACCCAAGACTTTTGTAGTACTTGAGTCTCCAATATAGATCTCTTCTCTATCATCCTCTACATGAGTATAAGAGGAAAATGCTTCTCGATTTGCATAAATGTGCCGAGTAGCCCCAGAGTCTACCACCCATTCTTTTGCATGTGCTACAATGTTTACTTGAGAAATGACAGCTGCAATAATATCACATCCTTTAGCTAAGTTAGCCTTAAGAGTATTAGTTTTTCCTTTGTCATTTCCTGCTCTGCACCTGCACTGTGAGGCATGATGGCCTGATTTTCCACAAACAAAACAAGAGCCTTTTTTCTTTTAAGGTTAGGATTTTTAGGCTTGTAACCTTGAGACTTATTCTCGTACCTTTTGCGGTTGTTGTTGTTGCTTTGCACTAAGTTGGCTTTAAGAGGTGTCATCCTACCTTTGGCAGATTCTTTTCTATTTGAATCTTCAATTAGGATGTGGGTCACAATTTTCTCAATAGTGAAAATTTTCTGTTTATACTTTAAGTTATTTTTGTAGTCATTCCATGAGTCAGGCAGTTTCTCAATTAGCACTCCAGCAGCAAACTTTTATAGTAATGACATCCCCTCGGCCTTCAAGTCTTCTAGCAATTTTTGATATTCGTTGATTTGAATATTCATCTCTTTATCATTTTTTATCTGCCATTGATAAAAATTTTCTACTACAAATTTTTGTTTTGTAACATCTTTAGCAATGAATTTTTTAATTAAGGCTTCCCAGATAGTTTTTGCTTTATTATAACTGCAATACACGTCAAACAGTTCATTAGATATAGTTTGCAATATGGTATGACGACATGCCTTGTTGGCATGTTGCCATGATTCCACTATTTTATTATCAGTATCTGGAGTAGGTTGTGGATGCAGCAGTGCATGTGCAACACCATGGACATCAAGCAGTGAGAAAATACGTTCTTGCCGACGCTTGAAATTTTCATTGGCGAAAATTTTAATATTTGACACATCTGGAAATGGCCTGGCATATGGCAGTGCAACTGGGGCTGGAGCAGCGGAGGAAGCACTAATATCAGTAGTATTTTCAGTATCAGTGTTATTTACCATAGTTTCTTAGATTGTAGGAAGTGAGAGCAAAATTTCAATAATAACACTGCTACAATAATATTATTTGTAAGTAGATACACGAATTGGCTTGAGTCGTGCTGTGCACTGTCCTAAGAAACTATTTAAGCAGTGTGAAATGTCTCTCCAAGATTAAATAGGCCTACTCTATTAGGGAGGATAAAATAATCAACAAAATATTAAATTACAAATCCAGCTATTTAAAAGAGTGGAACAAAGAAAATAGACTACAAAAGTTTAAGGAGGAAAGAAAAAGAAGGTGAAGAGGAACGAAAAAGGCAAATGAAAAATGTTGATGATTGATGGCCATTTTGAAGGTCTATTTATAGCTTTTAAAGTGAAACTTAGAGCATGACAAGTGTACACCACTTGTCTTCAATTTCTCATGCAAGAATGCCACATGGAAGGGCATTTGTCCATTTTTTGGAAATATCACAATAGTTTTAATAATAATTTTTTGACTTTAAATATTTAACTATTAAAACTTAATCACTTGGCTATTTAGAATTTTTCTCAACTGAACAGTATTTTTAAAAGATTTTCTTCACGTAATAAATTGAGTACTATTTTCCTATAATAACTAAGTCTCCACTACGAAGACGTATAAACTATAAAGTATAATTCTCGAAAGAAAATGGGGTACATAATACATTTGAAGGATAAGACAAAAGAGACATAAAACGTCATCGTTTAAGGTGCCGACCCTTTTAAACCACCTGGCTTGAACCCGGGAATGACCCGAAGGTTTTATCTGTTGTTATAATTTTCCCAATTTGTACGGAACCTCTCCAAAAGGGAAAGTGAACATAGAAAAGGAGGCTTAGAAAATTAGGGTTTTTTCGGGAGAAGAAGAAGAAAGGAGCAAAACAATGGAAGGAATCACAGAGGGAGTAAAGAACATAAGTGTAACTGAGACCCACAAGAAGAACAGAATCCAAGTCTCTAACACCAAAAAATCCCTCTTTTTCTATGTTAACCTCTCCAAGGTTCTCTCTTTTTTCTCCCCATATATTTATTAAAATTGTATACTTTGAAAAATATAACGTTTTTAACACTATTACTGTATTTTGACGTGTTATAGCAGGTTAATTATTTTTACACTGATACTGTCTTTTAGCAATTAGGCTCTTACTATAGAGTATAGACAGTTCCTTGGGTTGGTGATAGTGTAAAAAAATGTATTTACTTGTTTTTCCATGTTACAAAAGCCACGCAATGTAATTGACATGAAAGTAATTTAATAGAGTAAATACTCTTTACCCTCTTCTAAGTGTGTGTTTGTGGGTGTGAGCTGGTGGCAACTGTCTGCACATATTTGTTATTACGATGTACTCGGTTAGTTTTAAAATTATGATACTTGTTTGGTTGAAAATTGGTTATGGAGCATTCTTTTGTTACTGAAAAGATGTTGCTTTGAAGACAACTGGACTGACAAAAATCTTAGCTTCAAAAGTAATTCCTTCCATTTAATGGTTACATGGTTTGGGGTTAAAGAGCTTATTATGCTGGTTGATCTATGATATAATGCGCTTGTTAGGGTCATTCGCAATGTCAAACTAGATTTGCTTAAGGTTGTTGAGTTGTTTGTTGACGAGCTACGTGATAGGAGTAAAACAAAAGAATTGAACTTTGCATACTGCTTCCATAGTCGTCTTATCTCAAATGGGCATATTGTTTGCTTCTCTCTCTTTCTTTCTTTTTCCCTCTATAAATCTGAAAGATTGCTTATCTGTGAGAGGATGGAAACTATTAATTATATCCTGTCAGAAATGACATTGCTCATAGTGGGACTGGAAGACCTGCAGAATATTATCAGTTTAAATTAATGCACAATACATGGTGTCTTTGTTAATTTAATGTGTCTGATTATTTATGTTGGCTGAGGTCTATTTTCCTGGGTTTAATTGAAATAAAGCTAATTTCATTGATGATTCAGATGGTTGAAGAAAAATTGCTACGTCTGTGTGTATTACAGAGGGAAAAAATGAATAAACGTTTTTGTTTGAGAAGCACAAGTAAAGAAAGTAGTACAATAAAAAATAAGTAAAGAAAGTAGTTCTTCAAGTACTAGCTGTCTGCTGTAGTGGTCCAGGACTTCACAAAATCAAGAGCGATTGCAATGGAAGAGAATTGAATATGTATAAGGTCTGCATAGATACTTCTGACTTACGCTTGAGGTACTTCATAGGTATATTACTTATCTAAAGGTACCTCACAGGTATATTTGAAAATATCGCGCATACAGTGTCAACTAGAGGGTTCGCACATGACTTATAATATAGTTTGAGGTTTTTTTATGCAAGTGGGCTCATGATATGCATTAGACAATCTTGAAAAAGGTTATCTATGAATATCTATATCTAGTTTCCTAGTCTTACACCAGAACCACCATTGTTGCTAATGATCTGAGCTAGTATCCTGAGATATTTGATATTTTGCTTGCAGAGGTACATGCAGCAGTACAATGAAGTGGAACTCTCTGCTCTTGGGATGGGTAAATCTTCTAGGCCCTCAATTTTGAGTACTGGTTGTGGTTTTCCTCGTGCATATAATTGATGTCATATGGGTCTTCTTCTGGATGAGTTGTATTATGCTGTTTTTTTCACATCAATAATACACCAAAATCAAACATAAACAAATGAGTTCATACTTGGGTTAGGGAGGCGTTCTCACTTTCTGCAGCTAGTTTTCCCAATTGAGTTTTCTTTTATGATTGGTGAATTCCAATCTTGGCGTTGTGTGATGCTGTTTTGTCATTTCAAGGAGGACTCAGTTTCGTATTGTCACCCTCTACGTGTACAACAAGATTATAATACACAGTGTTGCACACTTTAGCAGGGATGTGATATGCTGGTGAGACAATTTTGAACCAGCATCTGGCATAAAAAGCATCCTGTTTTTAAATTTAAAAAGTAGTTGAGTGTATCTGGGATAAATTCTGATTGATCATAAACCTTATTCCTGTGGCTTCCCAAGGATCTTTACACTGAAAAGAAGAACATGTTTGAGACTATGTTTGAAGCGGCTCTTGTGCTTGCTGGTAAACCTTATTAATAAAACAGAAATACAGAGTGGTGGCAGAGTTCAATTTGATGTTCTTTTCATATTTTATGTGGACTCATCCTTTTGCATTATATTGAGAACTCATTGATAGTTGAATTGGCTTGCCGTATAGTTCTCCAAAGGATTAACAATCTTTCCCGCATGCATGCAGCTATTTCAACAGTGGTTACCGTTGCTGAAATTCTCAAGAACAATGGATTTGCTGTTGAGAAGAGTGAGGCTTCTCCTACTTCATTCTCATCCCTTTTATACTCTTTCTTGCCATCTAACTTTGAGGGTACACTTGCTGCAGAGATCAAGACACTCACTATTGACATGAGGGATGAACCAGGAGCCCGACCGATACCAAAAGCAAAGGTAAAAATCCAAAAGCATAATGACTACCCATAAAAAAATTGATGCATTGGTCTGCTTCATTTTTGGTGGTTTTGAAGTAATGGAACTCCTTCTTTGGAGGTTCTAGGTAAGTGCTAGCTTGGGCCTCAAGATTGTTTCCTGAAGAGTTATAGCATAGACCTTGCTTAAAGTAAGCATTCAAGAGACGTGTGTGTGCTCATTCTGCTCTCTTTTGAGTCAGGATTGTGCAGAATTTTGCAAAAGCTGTAGAATAGGATGGTAGGGTTATGATGGTTTACATCCTTGCTCACCAAAATGTTTGTCGAGTCACATTTGAGTTGTTGATCATAACTTGACCTCACAAGGGAGGCCCCACGCTGAGTGATTCTCCCCCATAAAACTCTACATGTGTTCCGAATTGGTCAGCTTAGACCTGATTGAAAGTTTGTCTTACAACCCATGCCTGTTGATGTGCATTCCCTTTTAATTGCATTTTGTTTTTTGTTTTTGTTGTTTGCTTTTGGTGGTTTTGCTCCTTGAAATCGGATGCAGATCCAGGATTTAAATCATATGGGTTCAATTTTAAGGTTTTTAACATTGAACCCATTATATTTTTAAAGTTATGGGTTCATATCTACTATTTTTGCAATTTTAATGAATTTTTACATACAAATTTTTACTCCGCGTCAAAAGTTATGGGTTCAGTTGAACCCGTAGTCAGTACACTACATCCGCCTCTGCTTGAAATTGTGTCCTACTTTTAAGTACTATGGAATAAAATACTAATTTCCTTTGGCAACTCAGGAATGGATAAATAAAATCTGGCCAGGATTACATTGTATGTGATGCTGCTTTTATGGCTTTCATGTTCTTCTACTTTATACTCTCCAAAACAATGTCATGCTAGAATGGATTGAAGGCATGTGAGCTGAAAGTCTATTTCTAGTGTTGTTATATGGGGCTTGCAATCCATCTTGAACTTTTTCCTTTTTGTAACAGTTATCCTTGTCTGTTCTGTGGTATCCTCTTGTGATCAAACTAAGGTTTTTGTTTTATTTATCATCTTCGTTTGGTGCAGATTGAAATAGTGCTCGGAAAGACAGAGAAGTTTGATGAGTTAATGGCTGCAGAAGCAGAGCAAAATGGGGACAATGAGGAGCAGAACTAATTATTACAACATCTGCTCGCTTTCCTGATGATTAAAACCAAGCTACTACATTCAGGGATTGAGAAGAGATAAGGAAACTGTTATTGGGATCTATGGTGTTTGATTTGATCTGTTGACTATGACTTTCTTAATCTGTTGAAAAGAAAAGGATGGTTTAATATAAATTCATTTATTTTGTTTGATGTGTTTGCTTTTCTTTACTTGCTTATCTAAAGTGGTGTTGGATTCAAAATAATTTTGACTCCTATCCTCACTGTAAGTGATGTAGTATCAATTTCATCTTATACTTCATCATTGAACAATAAGGATATGTGGGTTGATGATGTTGTAATTACATAATCCAACTGATCGCTATTGTGCAATGCTATTGACCAACTGGTGCTTTCTCACAATTGCCCAGTGATGTTTGGTGAGCAAGTATACTAAAATTTCCAAAAAGGTACCTGTCTCACCATTAAGTGGAGGAATCAAGGTTTCTAGGAAGGGAATCCCTGTTGAAAAAACTCTCACAAATTTATTCAAACGACCCCTAGTGTAATGCAAGTTCTTAGTACAGGCTATGAGTGAAGGGATGTGGAACGATGAAGCTGAGTGTGATGTGAGAGGAAGGAAGACAATGGACGAGTTGAGTTAGATTTAAACTGACTTTAATGGATTGGTCATGAATCAACTTGTTAAAAGTTTGCTTGAGTTGACATATGTAGGCCTAAATTTAGGTTAAGAAATGGCTAATGCGTAACTTATCCAATGTAAGTTAACCCTTGCCTTTGAATATTTGCTAATCCGACAGGTTAAAATTTTAAAGAGTTGAGCAGGTTTTATTTCATAGGCTAAATATGCCACCCATATGAAAGTTTGCATTGTGGGGGGCTATTGACAGGAATGACAGGCCATCCCTTCCACTCTCTTTTTGTCCACCGATGCCATCACCAAAAATCTCCCAAGTCTATCTTTCTTGTTGAGAAAAGGTAAGGTGCAATTTCCACTTTTCCTAATACCAAAATCAACATATGTTCTGTAAAAGAAAAAAAATCAATATATGAATATATCCGGTAATATTCTACCTTTTTATTTTTCTATCCTTAATGTCATCTTTTCTATTTCATCTATCATATTTTCTTAAAGCCGAGGGACTTTCGGAAACAACCTCTACCTTCATAGGGGTAAGTTCTGCGTACACACTACCATCCCCAGATCCCACTTGTGAGACTCCACTGGGTTGTTGTTGTTGTATACCTTCTTAAGCTTTTATTCCTATTTGTTCTTGTTTTTGTCTAAGTCTATGAACATGGTAGCTTTGCCCTGCATCTCAACTACTTGTAGTAGCTGAAAAGAAAGAAAATCACACAGATATATGTGAAAAGCTAATCTGAATTAAGATACTATGAAACCCGTCTCTATTGACAAGTCTTCATCTAGTTCATCCCAAAGAAGGGGAAAAAAGAAACATACAGGTGCGAAAAAAGAAGACACAATTGTGCAATGTCACAAAACTCAACTGACGATAGATTACATTTCAAATTCTGGGAATGCTGCAGACTCAAAGCACTAAGCTCTGAAGATCTCTCATGTTTCCAATTTTCCTTGGTTAAGAGGAACTGGAATTGATGGCTAATCAGCAAAAGGCTAAAAACGTTTCCTTTCTTATTGATCTAGCTAACCAAAGAAATCAACTTTGTAATCTGAAAATATATTAGCCACTGGTATTATGTCCATTTAATCATGAGAAATCTCACACGATTATCCTAACGTCTGTGCCACACCCTGACTTCCTTTTCTTTTCTCTTCGAACAGCCTGTCTTGTCCCAAAAGAGAACTAGGAACAAGACAATTGGAAGGGTGGAAAAAAATTGTCAAGAAAGTTTTTATAAATACACCTAATCACATAGGCCGTTGTCCTTAGTTGGCACTATAGTTTTCAAACTCTCTGTGCGCAGAATCAAAATAGGGATGGAAATGCTGAACTGCTTCGAGGTATAAAGGTGTCTGCATCTCAATCATGCGGGAGACCTGCATAAAAAGGTTCTTCCATTCAACACAATGTTTTATCATGTATGAAGAAAAGCAATAGCAATTGACACATCTGTCGTACATGATAAAAATCAGAAACTGTTAATAAACAGTAAAGTTGTCTAAAGGTCTGCATTTGGTGTTTTAGTTAGATATTTGTGATACTATTTATAACCACGCAAACCAAAGCGAGCAGTAATTAAAGCAATTTTTCTTTTCTTACAGTTTGATTCTGCGTTTATTTTTTCGCTTTGTATCTATCATAAGCTTTTGTTTATTTTTTGGACTCCATTTAGGCCTATCTATTTCGTATGGTAAAGTGTTGTATCAGCTTTTCTTTCAAACTATTGAAATGTAACGGATGAAGAGGAACGCTAAAACTAAGAAAAAGATTAACAGAAATGCCAAATGGAATTATTGCAACTTGGAAATGCTTAAAATGGAGTCATCAGATGTTTACAATTGTCCCTATAGACTTTTCCCTAGGTGAGGCCGACAGCTGACGAAACTGAGGCCGAGGATCAACTGGATAAGAAAATTGAGGCACAACAATGAAAATTACTTACAGCTCGTCGAAATGCAAACTTCTCCTCTTGACCAGATAGCATGGAAGTAATGCCAGATGGAGCACCCCCTGAACTAACATTGCCTTCTGCTAAAACATCTCGCCGGAGCTTTGTACCTTCCATCTCTGTCTCAAACTGGAAACTGGACAAATAGCACACTGACCTCAATTGAACTGAATCCTTTTACTAAATCTTAAAGTTTATTCCTGCAAATTGTAATGGAGAGGGCAGCCCGGTGCACTAAGCTCCCGCTATGCGCGGGGTCCGGGGAAGGGCCGGACCACAAGGGTCTATTGTACGTAGCCTTACCCTGCATTTCTGCACGACGCTGTTTCCACGGCAAATTGTAATGGAGAGGGCAGCCCGGTGCACTAAGCTCCCGCTATGCGCGGGGTCCGGGGAAGGGCCGGACCACAAGGGTCTATTGTACGTAGCCTTACCCTGCATTTCTGCACGACGCTGTTTCCACGGCAAATTGTAATGGAACTACATGGAAATACCCTAGGTAACTGCTTTCTTAGTGTTTAGTGTTGGTGCATCCACAATTCTGTGTGGCGTAATGCAACAGCCTAGAATGTTACTTGAAAATTAACTCATGCATGGAGAGATCCTAAATAGTTGTATCTTTGAGTTTTTAGTCAAAATTGTCCCTTATCTTTGAGGGTAAGTCCAACTTTGTCCTTTATCTATTGCCCTGAGCACTTATTGTCCTTTAAGTTTGTTAAACTTGAGCAGATTTACTCAAATTTAACAAAAGACCCAAAGAGACCTAAAAACTAACAGTGATTTCACTGAGCCAACTAGGTAAAGAAACTTTCAGTACTCAAATTTTGCAGAACCGATGTAGTGAACCTAAACCTGTTTAACGGGTTGGGTTGACCCGGTTCTGGACCGGCCCAGACTGGTAGTAAACCGGACCGGTGGAAGGGGGTCGGGTAGGGCTGGGTTTGGGGGGTTGGTCCGTATATTTTTTTTTTACCGGTTAACCGGACCAGTCAAACCCGGTCAATGAAAATTATTGTTGAACCGGTTAACCGGCCCGGGTCAACGACTAATTTTTTTATTTTTTTAAAATTATCACACTTGTTTCATTGTATTCTATTATCTTAAATTCTTAATGAAAAATTCAAATATTAGAATTTTAAGGTCTTTGAATCCTTTATTCAAACACTCTTTTTTTCAGATTATTTTTTTGTTTTATATTTTTACTTTATATTAATATAAATTACGATATATATAAAACAAAAAAACAATCTTAAAAAAAGAGTGTTTGAATAAAGGATTCAAAGGCCTTAAAATTCTAATATTTGAATTTTTCATTAATAATTTAAGATAATAGAATACAATAAAACAAGTGTGATAATTTTAAAAAAAAAAAAAAAATAGCCGTTGAACCGGGGCGAGCCGGCTTGGTTACCCGGCTCAACAGTAATTTTCATTGATCGGGTTTGACTTGTCCGGTTAATCGGTAAAAAAAAATATACGGACCAACCCCCTACCCCCCAAACCCAGCCCTACCCGGCCCCCTTAAACAGGTTTAGGTTCACTACATCGGTTCTGCAAAATTTGAGTACTGAAAGTTTCTATACCCAATTGACTCAGTGAAATCACTGTTAGTTTTTAGGTCTTCCTTTGGGTCTTTTGTTAAATGGACTAAACCTGCTCAAGTTTAGCAAACTTAAAGGACAATAAGTACTCAGGGCAATAGATAAAGGACAAAGTTAGACTTAACCCCGAAGATAAGGGACAATTTTGACTAAAAACTCTTGTATCTTCCAAGCAATCACATTATACAAATTATAACTAGCTTTCAGAGAGATATTTCTCCAATTTGATGAACATTATCTAGGATATATAATTTCTTACGGCAACAAAATGACCATTCAATCTAGTGATGCAAAACACACAGAAAAGATATACAAGATAACAAATTCGGACTTCATCTTAGTAGACCAGACAACGTAGGATAGTAAAACAATATAACACACCTTTCCAAATCAAAAAGTGTTCCTTCTTCTGTTCCTTGAAATAGATCCTCTACTGAAGAGTCAGCAGTGCAATATAGGCAGCAATGATGATTGTACAATTCATCGATGAGGGTGATAAACCTTCTTGCCTGAGAAGTAGAAAAATCGTAACCAGCACTAACATCAAAAATAGCCCAACAACATAAAAGCATGAACGTAGAAGTACTAAGAACTTAAAAAGAAATAGCACTAAAATCTTAATCTGTTTTAAGTTAGTTAGCATGTTTACAGATGGAATATTGAAGATGTTACCTTGTCACGGATACGCATGCTCATAATCGGAATATCAGAAATGAAAACAGTGTGATAGTTTTTAGCCACTGCAATGTAATCTGCTGCTCCAAGCTGAAAACGTCCGCACATTAGATTAAAGCACTCCGTTACGAGGTCAAAGTTAAAGATATACTCTTGTTCTTGTTCTTGCTAGATTGACGAAGAGGTGAAAAAACTTTGGCAGCACAGGAATGCAACATGAAATACAAATTCAAGTTCAAGCTGAGTACTACCATACTTTATCTTGATTAAACCGACCTTAGAGCTAGGACATCACTGAACTTTTAATGGCACCTTTTTTTGTCTCCTCTATAATTCTAGCTTTGGTTAAGTCCAGTTTAGATGCAATTACACGAAAACCGTCAAAGCATATGAAAGCAAACTTCCAGAACTCTACAGCTAACTATAGACATAATCAAAGGTTAAAACAAGTTGAATCCTCTATCTGAACCAGAATTAAGGACCAGAGTATCCATCTAAAACCTGAAAGACGAGACAAAAGCCTCAAGAAAAGAAATGACAAGTTCTAGAGTCAGTAACATTGGTAATCGAGTACAGCAGTATAGATAGTTCACTGTCATCTTATCCTTTATTTTTTTGTAACATCATCTAATTTGCTTAAAATTTGGCTTCTTTTGCACCTATTCTTTTAATTTTGTCCGGGTCATGCTTATTAGTTTAGACAAATCCGTCAGATCATTTACTCAGTAGGCTGCTTGCTTATCTGCGGGTCCAGGCACCAAACTGAGCTGAGCTGAGCCTAAGCTAGCTCTTGTGTGTTTTCAGTTCATCTGTCAAATTACTAACTTAAATTAAGACTAATTTCAAATGCAGTCAAAAAACGGAATAGATATTTCTATATTATAATATATGGAGCTTTAGCAGGGAATGTTATCGTTAGGCGTGAAACAATTTTCATTGAATTTCACGAATATTTTGAATCACATGGATTAAAATTTTTAACCACAATTCATGTCACTACAAGCTAGGCTTAAGTTACAGTATAATTAAAAGCTCATTACATTACATAAGTAGAATACAAGAAAATTTTGATTCATAAATGATTTTTTAAGATAGAATAAGGTGTCCGCTCCTACTTACATGACAGACTGTCATATCAAAGGGCCAACCCAGATCTTATTTCAATATTCAAATGGATGTCAAGAAGTTTGACAAGTGCTTATATCTGACTGATACAAATAAGCATGTATTAACCATGAAGAGAAATGGAAAAAACACAAACAAACAACAACAACACCAAACCCAGTGAAATCCCACAAGTGGGGTCTAGGGAGGGTAATGTGTACGCAGACCTTACCCTACCTTAAGAAGGTAGAGAGGCAAAAAGCACAAACAAATAGATAAGAATAAATCTCTCTAATTCACAGTTCTTTTTGTCTCCAGTATAAGCAAGTTATACAGAGAAAAGAAAAGGAAATTCTGACTGACAAGAGCATAGTACCGGCCGACCACAGAGATACTCAAAGGTGAACCGTGCCACCCCGTTGCAGCTCTCAGGAACTTCCAATGTTCTGATAGAAAGCAAAGAATTATGATATGACAGATCCAAGGACTCTTTCAGACTTGGAAAAGATCAATGGTTAATTAAACATACCTTCCAAACATCACAGGAATAGTCTGTGAGGTGATGCTTCCTCTGACCTCTTTACTGATCTTATTCCAAATATCCTCAAATTCTCGTTTAGTGTTGCTATTAAGAGGCCAAATGTAGTGGACCTGCAAATTAGTCTCTCTTAGTAATCCATGATATAATCGTTTAGCCTTTTTTGGTAGATTTGGCATTGGTTACACTAAATTCTTCACGTTTCTTCTCACAAGTCCTACTCCCCAACCTTGGAGACATGTGGTTTCTTAAGGGTGACAAGAGAGAGGCTTGTTTTTACTGTTTACAATTGGATTTATTTATCAGATTAGACAGGAGACAAATCACAAATATATGAGCACATATCAAGTTTGTTAATCAGGGAATAGAAACAGGCAAATTTCATTAAATCTTGCCTGGTCTATAGATCTCTGAGCAATAAGGCGGCGATAATCAACTTCACTTCCTATCAGAACTGTTTCACAATGCTTCTCAAGGTTTTTTAGCAGCTTTTGAAAGATCTCCTTTTGCATACCATCCTGAATAACAAAGAAATATCACAAATAAATACTTTTATCAAAAAACAAAATGTCACAAGTAATATAACAATGTTTCAAGCACTTTGAATCAGAGACTGCCATTATATTCATCTTCCAAGTTTCAAGTCAAAACATGCAACAAAATCACGCGTGTTGAGTTAGAAAATGCAAATGGAATACTTTTTGAGAGTGAAAAAGAATACTGCATTGCTTTTCCAGAAGAAATACTTGAAATGCACCTGGTTTAAGTCCGTTGGAGCACGATTACTGGTTGCCACCAGAACAGTTCCAGTACTCAACAATCTACTAAGAATTCCAGATAATGCCACAATAGCAAAAACATCAACTGTCTGTCACCACACACACAAAAAAAAAGTAATCTTCAGTCTGATTCATTTCGCAACACATGACCCCAGCATATATAGGTTGCTACAACTTTTCGAAAGTATTGCCAACTTAAGGTTGTAATTCCACAAAAATAAATAGAGAAGAAGATGGAGATGGCTCTAGGAAATAATGGCAGACTTCCAGATATACTGGATGGTGTATTTTCTACAATAAAAAAACAGATTGAATGAGACAAAATATAATACCAAAGCTGAGGTTTACTGTAGCTAACTTTTTATTCTTTTCTTTGGATCGACTGTATCTGATAAAAATCATAAAAACAGCTCCTGAAGATGTGATGTTGACAAAAACCTAGTACATTTCTCGTACTTAAGTTCGGTAACAATATAATGTGTGGTGGTAAGGTTAGAAAAGTTCCGGTAAACAAAATCTAAGGTGTTTACCTGTATTTCATCAAAGCAAAGGATGCTAGCACCTCTCCTACGACCTGCCTGGTTAA